CGACAAGGATACCAAGACTGGCTGCGGTAGCCCCTTTGATAACGCGGATTGCAACTACATCGCTGCCACCCCGATCTCTTAAATGGTCGTGGCAATAGGTCTTGTCAGTCTCCTTCCCAGGTACCAGGTTTTCTCTTATCGTGTACTAGCCTTCAAACTCTGTATATACCTGTAACTTATTAGCTTAGTTCAGAATTGCCTAATAACAAAGTCCAAGCCTCAAGTGGACCCTCTTAACATCCTGAAGTCCCCCTCATCTTCCTCATTCTTTCGATATCTCCACATCGGACTCATAAGATCAATTCGACTTATCTATAGAATCCACAGCATTGCTTCACTTCATAAAGGAGAGCCTGACTACTTCAGCACCTCTTGAGATTTGTGATAGTAGCAGTCTACGCCGAGGAACCTATAGTTGACCATGTAGACGAGGTTGAAGCTTTTGTACAATACACACTGGAAGAAAAAGAAGTCACTGGTCAGCATACCTGTTAGGGTCCAAGTCGAGTGAATTTGCCTTTGGCACAAATATTGGCTCTCCCGGAAGGAACTTGAAGTATACTCATTTTCATTTTATAGTGACTCTGAGTCTTCATTCCTTTAAGGACCAGATCGCCTTTCAGGAAATATATCTAGTAGCTCAGAAGGTCAAAAGCCAACAGGTAATTCATAGTTCATAGATGTGCAACCCCAATTACAAATCCCGCAAATCATATGAGCTGTGACCAAAGCCTAGTTCTCAATTCTTTTCGAGGATATTTTCTCCTCAGTCGAATTCTTGGCTGAAAGTTCCCTGAATCAGTAGAGCTTAGTCATGTGCCCAGACTTCGTCATTCTCCGCACGATGAGTCTCAACATGAAGTGCGGAAGAAGCTCTGGCCTCAATCCAGAACAAGGCCAAGCCCAGACGGACCATCCCGCCTGACCTCCAGAGCCCGGGTTCTTCCCCGCGAAACAGCTCTGATCAACGTGGAGGAGAGACCAAATTGACTCTGTCAACCTTGCTTTTGGTTGCTTTTGGTTGTTTCCATGTACGAGATGCCAAGCATCGCTAACCTATCAGCTCAGTCTGTTCGTTGCTGAGCGTGTATCATTACGTAAAACTGGCACTTCCGTGCGTTTCCCTTCCCCTCAGCTGCCTCTCCATTGTCTGCGCTTCAACAGAGTTTAACGGAACCACAAAACTCTACCATGTAACGCGACATGACATCCCAAGATGCCCCGTGACCTCCGTGCTGAGGTTGGCCCGGTGGGCGGTGCTGCACTGGGCTTGGACGACATCACCGCGCGTCTCGCCTAGGTACTAATATTGTTCACTAACATTCTCTACTCTTCTCAACGGGATTCATCTCTCTTCCTCACAATCGAACAAAACTGTGAAGCATGGAGTTCAAGAACTTGGCTCTTCGATCAGCTACTGCGGTAGACGCATATGACAGTGATATGGACAGCGAATGGGTTCAAACACCGCCAGAAGACGCATTCACAGACGAAAGCGAGATTCAAATAGACTCGACGGGAGATCTACTACTGCACGTCGGCTCCGATTCTTCTACCGGCACCACCAAATCATTTCGCGTATGTTCAAACACATTACGACGAGCCTCACCATTCTGGAGGCGCACACTCATTGAGACATCGTCAAAAGCTCAGCCGGGCGACGAGGAGTGGTGCGGATGGACTCCCTCGTTGTACGCTTGCCAGCACGACAAGTCGGACGGATTGATGATCCTGCTCAACATCATCCATGCAAAATTCTCACTCGTACCGAAGGATCCTAGCCTCACGGAAATTTACCACACTCTTTGTCTGGCAAGCTTGTATGAGATGGAACATGTCTTTCAACCGTGGATTGCGCAGTGGTACGGTATGATGAAGACCTCTGAGAGCACCAGAGACGGCCGGGATCTGGCGATGCTGTCTTGCATTGCTTGGGCATTGGGCGATGAGAGACTGTTTGCAAGGACCATCATCAAGATCAGTCTTACCTGCATCATAGATGATCAAGGTCACATGGCCACTCCGGACGGGATACACCTAGAAGACTATTTCTATGACTCTCTGGGCTCGCCGACCATACCTGGTAACCGCCCTCACGTTCAGCGTTCGCTCAAGCCCCATGCTAAGAATATCTCAGAAACCATCCGTACCTTACGCAGTCAACTCGCCGCAGAGCTACCTTCACACCTCAATGGGGTAATCGGTAGATTGATAGATGGGAAATGGCTCTGCGCTGGCATTTCCGGAATTCCCGTAACTCGAAATAAAAAATGCGACTATGTCGTGCTCGGAAGTGTATTGGCTGGCCTCATCTATGTTCGAGGATCGAGAGCGACGGAAGTAACAATCAGAGCCGACGAGAGCATCATGGACTTACTCAAGTCTCTTAAGAGGGTGTTGTCATACGCGACTTGCTATGAGAAGCACCCGGAATGCAACCCAGCAGAGCGAATCTCGGAAGCCATGAAGAAAACGATCAACGAAATGGAAATACCTTTGAGCTCAGATTGCGTCCAACGGATGAAAGAACAACGTCAAAAGACTGGGTGGCAAAATTGAACGCTCATAGTTGACAGCAGCATTGGAAAGTCGCATGGAGATCTGGCGTTTGTAGAAGCTGCGGTTTTTATATACTCGCGAGGATGGGAGCATATGCAAGTGGAGAGCACACACTCTCCAATCGCATTAAAAGTTTAGTATCTATTGTAAGATGAATATTCCAGGGGAAGGACCTTACCAAGTATCTCGAAGGAGCTATTCAAAATTCACTCTATCTTATCAACTAGTCTGCAGCTTCCAGACCATACTTGCACCTGTGCATGACAACTAGTGGAGGTCATTCGAGAGTGAGTCGATATTTTAGTGATTCATGGCAGCGGCCTGACCGCGCCGGCATCAACGGTCACTTCAATTGTGGTTATTTCCATATGCCGCTACAATCGTCACGGACTACAAAGACGGTGTCTAGTACTCTCCGCGAAAACCACGATTCGGGTATTGGGTGTCCCCGGAACCAGCCTAGTACATCTACATAAGCTACTAAAACCCGTGCCGCTGGCGTACCGCTTCCGTACCTTGTGGTGAAAGACTCGCCATTCCTATCGCACAATCAAGTACAAAAGGACCAAGAGACGAAATCAACATCATTGAGTGTAGCAGCCTTCAATGCCCAAGAACTGCACTCCAATCACACAACGCTCCAATCGAGCAATATGGCAAGCAAAGTTTTCAAAGCTTCAATGTCAACCAAGACAGCCCCAATCGCCATCATTGGTGCTGGACCATGCGGCCTCACACTAGCCCGACTACTTGAGCGTCAAAAGGTCGACTACGTAATCTACGAACGAGATGAGAGCGCTACATCAGCCAACGCAGGTGGCTCGTTGGATATCCACGAGGCGACTGGTCAAGCGGCGCTTCGGAAGGCGGGTCTGTGGGATGCGTTTCGCAAAGAAGCCAGATGGGAAGACGACAGATTCACGGTATACGACAAATTTGGAAAGCAACATCTCGACATCAAAAGCAACGGCGGAGTTGATGAGGCGGGACGGCCAGAGATAGATCGCAAAGCGTTGCGACAAATCCTTCTGGACTCCGTACCGCAAGAGAAGATCCGATGGGGAAGCACCTTAAAAGCTGTTAAAATGCATAAGGCTGGCTCACCGGCCCTCGAGTTCACCTCCGGTGCGACTGCGGAAGGGTTCAAGCTTGTGGTTGGCACTGACGGTGCTTGGAGCAAGGTTCGCTCGATGGTATGGCACAATGATCTCACTCTCAATTGATGCTCGGTAACTGACGATGATCTAGATTACACAAGCGAAGCCTGAGTACTCCGGCAGAACATTCGTGGAAGCCCAAATCACGGAAGAAAACCCGCTGTTCAAGTCAGTCTTGGACAAATTTGGGCATGGAACTGCATCTTTACTGGCGGGAGCAAGCCAAATGATCGTACAGCGGCAGGGAAACGGATGGTACAGGGTGTACTTCGGGATACAAGCTCCCGAGCACTACGTTGGTAGAGAGCTCGACTCAGCAAGCGTTGATGCTTTGCGAAAGTCACTGCTATCCGACTTCTACAGCGACTGGGCGGAGGAGCCGAAAGACTACATCCGACGAGCCGACCACTTTCGCAGTTGGCCGTTGTATCACCTCCCTGTTGAAAGTCAGAAATGGGCGACGGTGCCAGGTCTGGCCCTGGCTGGGGATGCAGCTCACTTGGCACTCCCCAACGGTGAAGGTGTCAACTGTGCTATGTGGGATGCGATGGAACTGGCTAAAAGCATTGAGACCTATGGCCTCGACAAGCTGGATGATGCGGTTCGCGAATATGAGAAGGACCTCTTGGTGCGGGGCAAAGCTCACATCGAAGACGGCATACAGCTTGGGAATCTGATGTCGCATGAGACTGGACCGGCCGCTTTGGTGAAGGCTTTCCAAGAGAACGACTTCTAAATCGCACAGCGGGATACCAGGGAAAGAAGTGAGTTTGAGGCACAGATTTGCACTAACGCATCACGTCCGACTTCCCGATGTCTCATTCGCCTATTATGTAGACCCTTTTGGTTTTGTTCTGGCGATAATATTAGATGCCAACGTTTACTGTCCGTGACCTTCCAACAATAGACTTGGAGTTGCCTTGAGGACATAGAAACGTCAATAATAAAAATCTTACTTGTATCCATGAAAATAAGGCGCCTGTTGTCTGGCCCCTCTCTTCCAGCAGTGTCTCACGCTTGACTACGCCATTGATTCTGCCCGGGCTTACTCTCCCCGAAATTGTTAGTCGGCCCATTCTAAAGTCCGGATTACGCCGTGCTGCGGAGCACCAAAAAGCCACGCTTGAGATCCCGTCGTCAGCTTGACCCGTGCCTGGGGCAGAGCCCACCTTGCCCACCTCCGCCCGACATCATCGGTCCCCGGTCGTCACAACTGTCCGAAACCTACTCAGCTCCCCTCTTCACGGCATCGGCCTTGGCACGACACCGTCCGACATTGCAACCATGTCGGCTCCCGGGATAGCAAGCAGCAAATCGGACACCGCTCCTCGAGCAAAACCCCAGCGCGTCCTCGCCTGTGTCCTCTGCCAGCAGCGCAAGATCAAGTGCGACCGCAAGTTCCCCTGTTCGCATTGCACAAAACATCAGCTGCAGTGCGTGCCTGCGACACAGAACCGGCCACGGAGACGGCGATTCCCCGAGAGGGAGCTTCTCGATCGCTTGAGAAAGTATGAGGGCCTACTACGACAGAATAAGGTTGATTTTGAGCCACTCCACGGTGACCTAGGGGCCAGGTATGGGAAGTCTGTCGATGACAGTGGCGGGTCGGACGATGAGCACCGATCCGAAGGTGTGGGAATGCCTTCACCATCAGTCACTGTGAAATCTGAAACATCATATGAGCCTAAGTGAGTCACCACTCTGCGAAACCGATCGAGGGTTTCCCGCACGCGCTTTTATTGTCTATTTGGCTTAGTCGGACGTACGATACCAGTGTCGCTAACTTTGTGCAGGAACTTTTGGCATTTGGTGAGCCCAGAGGTACAGTATCTGTACTCAACTCACCCTCAATCTCCGTGACTGACATCGCATAGCTCGACGACTCGCATGCTGGCTTGCGAGAGACTATCAGGCAAACGTGGGATCAAGCCTGCGATAGCGATGACCATATTCTCTTCGGATCCCCAGACCGATCATCCGTCGACCTGTCAACGCTCCATCCTGAGCCCGTCCACATCTTTCGATTATGGCAGATTTACCTCGACAATGTGAATGCGCTGCTTCGAGTGACTCACGCCCCCAGTTTTCAAGCGCGCATCATTGAAGCCGTGAGCAGCGTCGAAAACATGAGTCCCGCATTGGAGGCTCTCATGTTCAGCATATACTCTATGGCCATCTTGAGTCTTTCCGAGGATGCATGTTACGAAACTTTCAAGCAGCCGAGAGCCCTGCTCTTGACCAAATACCAATTTGGTTGCCAGCAAGCTCTCTCAAACAGTCAGTTCTTGAGAACAAATGACATTGACTGCCTGACTGCGTTATTTCTTTATCTAGTACGTACCTTAACTGGCTAAGGGCCTACAGTATGAGATCGAGAGGATCACATTGCCTAACTTTTGATAGCATGCGAGCCGCCCTAGTGCTCACATCCGATCAATATCATCTCTCCTCGGCGTTGCGATCCGCATCGGCCAGCGTATCGGTCTCCAGCATGAATCCGCCAACACCAGGTGCACCGTCCTAGAAGCCGAGATGCGTCGGAGGCTCTGGTGGTCCTTGGTGCTGTTCGACGCCCGCATGAGCGGTCTGACCGAGCACAAGGCGACCAACTTGACCCCGACATGGGACTGCGCCGTGCCGCTGAACGTGAGTGACTCTGACCTACGAGCAGAAATGAAAGAACCACCGAGGGCGGAGATGAAAGTCAGTGAGGCACTTTTCTCGGTGGTGACCGCTGAGCTCGCCGATTTCACCCGGCACACTGCGTTCTACCTCGACATGACGAATCCGATTCTCAAGCCCATCGCTAAGGAACTTCCAGGTGGCGGCAAGGTGGATTGGTTGGAGAAGTCGGTAGAAGACAAGTACTTCCGGTACTGTGATCTCGAGAACCCGACTCATTTCATGGCCTTGTGGATGTCACGCGCATCCCTCTCGAAATTTCGCCTCATGGAGACATCTCACAGCTTCTACGAGGGTCCGGTTGAGGAGAAGCACAGAATCACGTTATCAAGTGCCTTAAGGTGGCTTCAGTGCGATGCGAAGCTGGCGGCCTCGCCGCTGATCCAGAGATTCAGGTGGTTTCTCCAGATATACTACCCTTTCCCTGCCTACATCCGCATCACACAGTTTCTCAAACTGAACCCTCTGGATCCGAAAGGCGAGTATATCTGGAACGCCATGAGTGATCACTTTGAGGCTCGGTTCGAACAACTTGAGCCGGGGTATAATCCTGTCTTTGTCCCTTTCACCGAGGTCATTGTACGCACCTGGGAAGTGGTCGCAGCGGCACTCAGGAACTCAGGGCAGCCGGTGGTCCCGCCGAGAATTGTGGCCAAAGTACAGGAAAAGCTGTCGGAAGTGACACCGGCTCTGAGTCCACAGTCTTCCGATACCGGGCCCAAGGCTGAAGCGATGAATATGAACCCCTATGACTTTAGTGCACCTTTTCCGATGGATATCATTAGCCAGAGTCTCACTTACGATCAGGGTACCTTTTCGCCAACAGACAATGGTCTATACACAAATATTATCGTGCCGGACATGCGAGGTATCAACATCGATCAGTTCAACTGGGACTCATTGGACTTGGGGCAAAATGGGCAAGCGACATGACGATGAGGGATTGAATCTACATGTACCAAGACAAAGCCGTGGACGTTGGGCTCGACGAAGAGCACGGTTACTGTACCACCATGGTTGACAGCGTTTACAGTTGGCTTCACCGCTCAATTTCCCATAGATGAATGCGCAAGCAAGCGTGCATAAATAATTCAACTCAACTTAAAACACTCATTGCGAGTATGCACCAGGATACGGCGTGTCACTTGTTCATAGGCGATGAAGGCGAGAACAACAGCTCCGTCATGAATCCATGGTTGGTATTCTTGAACGTAATTACGTGTATGTACAAAGTGCGACAATATATACGTGTCGAAATGTGAACCTGAACACAGTTCAGATTGGGTATTGGGTCCGCACAGCGTTGTTCAGCATGGCTGTAACAAGCATTTACTGGACAGTGAGGGTGTAGGCGGAGGTCTTGAAGACGGCGTTGGTGCCGGAGAAGGGCTCGGTGCCGGCCTGGAGGCTGGTGATGACGTTGGTCTTGGCAACGCCCTGCTTGGAGGTGAGGTAGGTGAAGAAAAGGTTCAAGTCGCCGTTGAAGCTCTTGATCTGGCTGGGGGCGACGAAAGAGTAGACAGTGGTGTCACCGTTGGGGCCTGAGAAGTCACGTTAGAGGGTTGTCATTGAGTTTGTGGTGTAATGCTTTACTCACCAGAGTAGAGGGACCACTTGGTGCCGGCAATGGTGGGAGTGTCGATAGTCTTGCCAGTGCTTGAGATGGGGCCAGCACCGCCGAGGGCGCCAAGCCAGATCATAATTTCGTACTTGTTGTTGGCACCAACGGAGGGGGCGAGCCAGAGGTCGTAGGCGACATCGGCAACGATGTTGGAGCCGGTGTAGCTGTTGGTAGAGTTAGCAAATGTCCAGACTGACTCGTCTTTCAACCGGTATTGACTAACCTCCAGGTCCACTTGGAGGGGATGGACTTGACAGCGGAGAGCTGCTTGTTGACCTTCTCGAGGGCAACGTTGGAGTAGGACTTGACCTGTCCCTGACCACCAGCCCAGGTCCAGGAGGTCGACCAAGCGACGGAGCCGGACTTGAGGGACTCGAAGGTGGTGCACTGGCTGCCGGAGGTAGCCTGGGCCGCACCCCAGTTGTTGTGGTAGATGGTGAAGCCGCCGGTGGCGACGGAGCCGAAGGCGTCGCACATCTTGGTGGCACGCTTGTCGATGCTGACGGGCGTGGGGGAGGCCACGGCCGTGACGGCCAGCATGGCCGAGACGAGGTAGGAGGTGAACTGCATGGTGGGAATTTGGACTAGCTTCAGCTTTGAAAGAATGACTGGAATGAACGAATGGTTACTGCAAAGATAATGGACAAGAAGAGAATGTAAGTTGTTAGGATGAACAGTAGGGCTGCCAAGAATAGGTTTCCAGGCGGGCGGGTTGCCCTTTGATATACCTACTACATGATACTACGTCAACCGCCGGAGAGACTTTTTTTCTTTCCAGAAAACAAACAAGTCCCTCCAATTACGGCGTAGAATGCCGAATGGAACATTAGTGTGCGGCCCAGAACACAGCACGTCGGGTGAGGTTCTTCGCCCACGGCCGTAGCTACAAGACCGGGATGCCGGAGCTAAGCATCGGACGGAAAGCTTGTTGCGGCTAAGTGGGTGTCCACCGGAGGGGGATGGTTACGGTGGACAATCAGGGGCGGTTTCAACTTGATCACTTTGTCTACCGAAGCAACCAAGCGCGTAAACGCTGTGGCCACGAGGTGCTCCAAAAAGTGACTCCACCAATGGGCCATGTGGGCAGGTTTAATCTGCTCGTCACCTTTTGCCTTCAGGTAAATAGATTGTATGGTTCAGGGGGGTGTGGCCTGGAGAGGCTAAAAGGAGAACTTGTGAAAGCCCCCTTATCCCTGGCTCACTATCCGTATCCCCAAAGCAGAAGGCCAGCGAGCGTTGGAAATGAAGTTTTGACTCGTGTTCGCCGGTTTAGGTTCACCATTGATCATGGCCCCAATGAGCATATTGGAAAGCCGAAATCCATTGATTCCCACTCCCAGGGGCATTTGGAAATATTGACAACGCAGTGGCCTCCGTGGCTCCCTCGGGCCATTCCGAGGCTCGGCCTCGTTAATAGTTGATTGCTGCCGTCATTTACGGTTCTTTTCACCACATGGGCGCTGTTCCTCAATCGTATCCGTGCTTCCTAAGCATAAAATACAGCCGTTATAGCCGTCTTCCATGACCAACAACTCCACCATAGTATATATGTGAAGCCGCCCCCGTGTGCTGGATAGACATTGCCACCTGCAGTATCACTTTATGTAAAATGCGGCGCATGCATTGCTTTTGTCTCGCGGTATTCGAGGCCCTATTTGGATGATTGATAAGAAAGGTTGCGTCAGAGTGACACATTTGACAGATTGTTTCTGATGGGGTGCACAAACGCCTCGAAAGGCTTGTTCCCATACTCTCCCTGCGGACTCGAAAAAGTCCAGCTCAGTAGAGGAGTATCGTACCACAATGGTTCTCTCGCAAATCGCTATCAATCACAGCTAACTTTTCATATGCAAATGAACATGCACGGTCATGTGTCATGAACACCCGAATGCTCCAAAAAGCGCAGCGCCAAGAGGCATTCGACCCAAGATCAGGCCGAGCCCGACTCAACGGTGCTCTCCCCAGATTCCCAGGATTCAGATCGCTCGCCAAGGGTGGCACGCAGCGGGCAGCAACCCCCCGGTTCAGGGCAGCCATAAACGGCAAAGGGGCCCAGCTGCCGACATGAGCGCATCCACAGAACAAGACAAGGGCAACACTGGCCACCTTCGAGATATCCGTCACCACTATCGGGCCATGCTGGGCATTCGTGTTTTCGTATCCGAGAATGCCGCTTGTCGATGTGACACACCAAATCCGCAGAAGCTCCCGGCTCGTAGCAAGGCAGAGTTAACTGGTGGGAATTCCGTGAGCCGCCTCGGCACCAAAAGAACTAGAGTCTTTAACTGGAGAAATAAAGGGGTTTAGCGAAGGGCTGGCGGGTGGGTGGCGCTAAAGTGCCGTCCCGTCCGCTGCGCCGAGATTCTTGTCAATGTTCCCCTGAGATGCGAATAATAGAAACGGCAAGTATTAAGCGGTTCAACTCAATGTCAACTCCCCTCTCGGCATACAACGCACTAGCATCTTTGCATATCTCTCAGATCGATCATGTGTGTGAGGAATGACGCGGTGGCCGCGGACAGGAACACGAATTTCGGACAATTGAAGACTTCGTTGCTGTTCTAGCCATTGGGACTAGCATGTCACATCAAAGTGCCGACAACCCCATACTCATTTCGCTTAAACTCCTCCACACTGGCAGCACCACGATGCAGTCCACTTGGCCAAGCGCAAACACTCCAGAGCTCAACAACACCGGCTGTGTGTTCTAGTGGTCATGATTTCTCGTTCACAACAAAGTGAGCTTGATCCGAGAAGGTCGCAGGTTCGAACCCTGCCGCGGTCATAGCAATTTTTTTCTTGAGTTTCCAGCACTCCCCCATCGGTAGATGGATGAAGAAAAAATTCTCTCTATGAGCTTGGAAAGAGGAATTCACGTCTTTTGATTGTAGGGCATAATTCGTTCTTGAATACCTTAGTCCCCACACAAAAGACCGAAGCAGTCTATCTGGCCACGAATTGACTGAACTAATTGAAGTTCAGTGAATTTATTTGACTTGTCCGCTGTTGACACTTATAGAACTATTGAAGTGTCCACTAAGAAGGAATTACACTGTTCCAACATCAATGTTTTTGGAATAACAATACGCAGAGTTCAGGCAATGACACCGCGTCCTTCCTTCCATCGCCAAAGACTCTCTTGAGCAATGCCTGATCAGTCACGTCGAAAGATTTGTTCCGCCGGCTGGACAGGTTTTGTAGTCTGATTGTCTTGCATCGCACTTGAGTTCAAACGTTTATCTCGAGGGGCCAACAGGATCCTAGCACGTTCTCTTAGAGGCCAACCCAACAGATCATTGACATCAACCTGTGCTGAAACAAATACAATGTAGATCACAGTTCTTAAAAGACTTCTTCAAGTCAATTGTGAGACCGGCATTTCGGGACCATCATGCAGCCCTCGTTCAACTTGCGAACAATTGAGGTGTGTAGACGTGATGTTTAATGATCAATATTGGTTTCAACCAACTCTCTGGCATCTAAACTGAGGGCCCCATTGTCGGATCAGGATCATCGCAAAGTGCCGAATGAATCAGCCCGTGCGTATTTCCGCTGGAAATCGTGTTAAAACGACGCTAGCTTTGACCAGCCGGCGCACTCTAAAGAGGGTGTTCAGGACTTAATTACTGCGGCCCAGCCTTCTAATTACCCACCTTAAGCCTTCAGTATTTCTGATAGATCACGCAGCATTGCGGAACATCCTTACGCTATACTAATAACCGTCGTGCCCCATTCCGTATGGTGCGGATGATCACAACTGCTTCGGCGCGGCAGCTGCTGGCACACCCCATGGGTTGGTTCACAACCTGGAAGTACAGTTTACGCGGGTATTGAAACTAATTGTGGAAAACAGCTTGGTTCGAGCCTAAACCATTGATGCCGACGTAGTGACTATCACGATGAAGAGGTAAATAGGCATCGGCGAAGGGATGTAGCTCGATGATACGTGTCCAACGATCAAGACGGAGTGGTGATTAGGTGCAGGAGCAGCTCCTCGTGCCGGCTCTGTATCTCAATAACATCTTCACGATGCATGCCAGTGGTCACATGTATCGCAAATTGCGATGTTTGGGAAAGCAGTGGCTTAATTGAGATCGGACTTTAGGTATATGGTGAACAACTGGTTTTCGAGAAAAGCCGCCTTTGTCTTGAGGAACAACATACTCTGACAGCTCATCTCGCCGTACGATGGTCCTTAAGAGAGATTCCACATCTGATTGAGGTAATGAATGGAATCGGTTCTCAATTATACGTGTATCTTAGTCTGCAAGCTTCGAACTTGCGCCTTCCTCCTTGTATACATCATACTTGT